CGTGGCTGTGTGAATAAACATTGTGTGTGTGTCATGACAGAGTGAAGACTGACAGCTCCTCCTCCCCAGTTGTTACATTAGCTAACGGGTTTATTGGCGCCTGAGTGACAATTAAACAAATATAAATCTCGTTTTAGGCAGATTTACCGTCAATTTTTCAAGAACTCACTGTTTCAGCTTCAGTAAAAAGCTGATATAAAATGATTCAGGGATTAGATTATAATATAACTGTTGGTCCCTTTTGAACCTCTTGTTTTTCCCACTCTGTTAAATGTACCACGTTGTCTTTAAAGAGATTGTTTGAAGTGGTGGTTTATACTAAGTTAGTTTATCAAGTATGTTCGATGGCCATCACACACCCACCAGTTCGGAGAAACAGAATGCTAAAAAGGTGACATATTTTAGCAGCCGCTCCCTTGACAAAAAGCAGATTGGATTTTTCCATTGGATTTCAGAATAATGCACAAAATAAGCTCTGTGGCCAACACACGTTTATAATACTTCACATATTCTGTGCAGCGGGATAATCTCCATGCACTAACACCACTATATGACTTTTGAAGCACCAATGTAATCGCCAAGACGTAAAGGTGTACCAGCAGGATGCTAAGTGATGTACAGCTATAGACAGGGGCAGGAGCAACACCTATTTGAGATATCTAAAAAACAATCAATATTTGGTAAAGTGTCAGCAAAATGTCACCCCTTTCCGTCAGAGGGTGCTTTCCTTTTAGTGAAGTAAGATAGTTTGATAGTAATAGATCAATGCAATTTTGGTTTAGCCTATGTATTTAATGGTGGAGATTCAGCTCCATTGTAAACATTGCAGCCATTTGTAATGTTGTTGTTTGATCACATTATACTGAGGGCATCTTCTTTTTTGTCCATCTGTCACACATAATTAACATGTATATTTCTAGCTTCCAAACATGCTGGTCTGAACGACATGCCAGCGTTTGAATACCCCTTCCCACCGTTCATAAACAAATCTGGAAAATGTTCTAAATGAATTAAACATGACTTGGTAATTGACTGTACATTATGAAACAGCAGGAGACAGGAGGCAGAGTGAGACTGAGAGAGCAGCAGAGAGACTCCAGAGACTAATGAGCTAACTGTGGGGTGTTCTTCCTCATGTGACTGCTGTAATTGGGTCAGTCAATAGCCCTGCGTGGTGCTGCTGCTGGTGGAGAGGAGCCCAGAGCCATCATCTGACATCACAGCCCACACAGCGCTGCCAATGTGGGCCACAGCAGCAGCCAGAGAGCCGCCTCAACCAGCCACTGTCTGCTCTCCTACTGTAGCCTACCAGTTACCACCCATAATAACACTACATCTCATGTGTTCTTGGCACTGTTTAGTTGTACATTTTTGGTTCATGTTTGCCTTTACATCTGCACAAGATCAGTACATGAAATGCTCGTGGTAGCACTTATTTTAAACATTTTGTTGGCAAAGCTATCTAATCTGTCTCTATGATGTATTCGGGGACTTTATTTGACACAGTTATCTTTTAATGAAGTTACCAAAAACAATCTTTCAATCGTCTCTGCCTGCAGAACGGAAATGATGAAGGCTGTGTTGGTGGGCACTTTGCTAGCCCCGTCAATTTGTTGCAAAAAGCGTATCGTTCTGGTCAAGGCTCTAACCAGAGGCCTGTACTACGAAGCTGGTTCAACATAACCTGGATATGTTTGAGTTAGCCGGTTGGCCTAATCCAAAACATACGCGCTCTCGCTAAGCGGTCCTACGACGCTGGTTATCAAGTGGATCGCTCAAGCCAGCCGTGCCCTATCTAGTTGGTGCGCGTTCACATGAAAGGGGTGGTATCTGGAGCATTCGACCAATCACAAACATGGAGAAGCGCACTGACAGCGCAGCGTCATAATTCATGAATGAAAAGTGAACTATATAATTAGACAAATATGAAGACGTTAAACTTTAAACATCCATGACTTAAACACTTTATCCAGGATCAAAGCCACATAGTCTGCACCTGCAAGGTGAATACAGCTGGTAACAGAACAAGTGTTTGAATGCGTACATTAACAGGTTTATGATATCACTGCTCCGTCTAAGACACGATCTGACTTTAATTACATTTGACTCGAGTGTTTCGTCAACTTAATGTGTTGCTTAAAATAATACTTCTGCATACAGTATGTGACACCAAGTGTTGCACAGCCAGATACGGCTAAGCTGACTCAGATAAGGAAATATATGATACATTATGAAGTGATATGAATGATAATGGGACACATCGACGTCTGCACTCACAGTGCCGCGGACTGTAGGTAATGTTACTTTGATCCGGTTACTTATGTTGTGGCAGATATTTAATTAAGCTTTCTTAACATAATAGTATAATAGTTATAATAGTCAGATTTCTCTGAAGATGGGAGGTGATATTCTATTCATTTTCACGTTCACACAGTTTGTGATTTTGGCCGGCCGTCTTTCCGGCAACGGCAGCTTTTCTGTATTTCCTCTGCACACTGAACTCTGATTGGTCAGCAGGCGGGGCTTTCACTGAGTTGATCTCTTATCCTGGAACCTATCCTGCTCCGGAGCAGGCTAGCCACTCAGCATAAGTTATCTAGCCCGCTAAAAAGTGAACCAGCTTCGTAGGACCGGAAATCCCTGAAGTTAGCCCGCTAAACGAAAATCCTACTTCGTAGTACAGGCCTCTGGTGTCGTCCCTCAACTTAACCAAACGGAATATTTCCTGTTAGCTGGAAAATTACGTCAAGACATAACTTGAAATTGTTGCATAATTCGGTTCATGACCAAAAACGTGCTAAACTAATTTCCATCAGCCTCGCCTGTAGCCCAGTCTGTGTTTATTGCTAAATAGCAAGCTAAACATGCTAAACTAAGATGGGGAACAAGGCAGGTCTGGTAAACATCACATGTTAGCATTTTTATTGTGAGCATGTTAGCATTTACTAAATACCATTAGCCTACCATTTAGCTCGTAGCACCACAGTGTTTTCTGAAGGTACAGCCTCTCTCTTGTATTGAGGTAGCCTAAGACTGGTGTATAACAGACAATCGTTTTATTTATTTATAGTTTACAAATCCTTAAAAGCACAGTCCATGTCAGCTTCTAACACCAAATGTCATAACCACACCAAAAAACAACTTAACTTGTTTCTCTCCCTGCACTGGATCTGAGGAGCTAACAGCTAAGCTAATGTGCCTTCACAATCACAACTGTGTAAACTGACTGTTTGTGCACGCTAATGAATGTTTTCATCAGACTCTGTCTCTGAGTGGGCGTTTACCTGCTGCACATTCCTCTCTAGTTAAGTGTTTGCAGCTCGTCTTTTCCTTTTAATGGTTTTCACAGTAATTATGGAGGTTTCTCCAGCGGCTGCCGTCAAACCATATCTGTGTACATAAAGTGGATGAGAGGGTGGAACAAGAAGAATGTTTAGTGTTGTTTTGGTATGCTGAAAAGTGGCCTCTGCACAGAAACAACTCCACTTTATTTCAGCTGAAAGGGGTCGTAAATCTTTCTGTTATGATCTTTATGTTCACATGTAATGTATCTTTTCATCCTGTTTTCCTTTCTGTGTTCAGCTGCCTTTAAAGCTGTTTTTCTTCTCTCAGATTTGTAATTAGAGATTCCATCCTGTGAGGCGGAAACCAACTTGTTTGAGATGTGTTTCTGTTGTCATGAATACTCATATTTGTACTTTCAAAATCCCCTCAAATAAAAATAGTGTTACTTGTTGTAATAATACATCCTGAATTGTCTGATCATGAATATGTTATTCTCTTAGAGTTCCTGGCTCTAAAGACCCTGTCACACTGTCCCGAAATTGACACCCGATGGACACACGAATATGGAATTGTGAATTTCGCACGATGATGGCCCCGAACCACACACGAAGGCAACATTTACATTACATTTAAGACATACAACTGCAACAAAAGTAACACAAACAATTATGTTAAAGTACTATGATACTGTACTGATATCTTCAGACTTTGTTCTTTACTTTATCCGTCTTTATATGTAGAAGATATTAAGTTTTCTCCGTAATGTTGTTTCCATAGCAACAACAACTTCCTGTCAACTCTCCTTCAAAATAATATATTATATCCTTTTTAGTTTCACAGAACACAAATTGGGTTATTTACATAATATATTTACATGATTTTGTTGTGCAATAAAACAACCCGATGGACACACGATAAAGGAAATGTTCAAATTCGGCTGTGATCGTAGCAACATCGGGCCATTCGTGAGGGCATCTTAAGCCTTCGTATGACCGCCGGTGGAGTTTCTCAGGCTCCAGCAGCAACTTCGTGAGCGGTGGCAAAATCTTTGGCATGCCAAAAAATAGCCGAAGGACCTTGCGAAGGTTCATTTTCGTGTTGAATTCGTGTGTCAATTTTGCCCTTCGTAAGGCCATCGTGAGGGCATCTTGTTATCATCGGTGCCATCGGGCATTCGCCCCGATCAGAGTGAGGGTGAATGCACCGATGATAACACGAAGATGACACGATTTGACAAGATGCCCTCACGAGTACCTTACGAAGTTGCCGCTCACGAAGTTGCTGCCGGAGCCTGAGAATCTCCACCGGCGGTCATACGATGGCTTAGATGCCCTCACGAATGGCCCGATGTTGCTACGATCACAGCCGAATTTGAACATTTCCTTTATCGTGTGTCCATCGGGTGTCAATTTCGGGACAGTGTGACAGGGGCTTTCGGGAATCCACACCAAACAACAACATTTGCTCTTTTTGAAAGAAAATAACCCGGGTGATGATAATGTCTTACATATTGAAGGCATGGAGTTTAAAAAAGGGTTTAATATAGGTTAAGTTGCATTAGATAGAATAAAGTAAAAAAATGTAAGGTCTAAATTGTGTTCCTCTGCTACTAAATTCATCAGTGAAATTAATTCAAATGAAAAAAGCACAGATAAAATAGGCTTTACATTGTTTATGCAACATGCAGCAAAAAAATATGAAAACTGGGTCATTCAATCTGGACAAACAACTTTATTTCTGGTAATGCATCTATACACTGTACATTCAGTCACTGTAGTATATAAGCATAGCTATTTTCAAACATAATCTCATAAAGTCCTTTACTTTACAATATAGTCCGTGTCGTGAGAGAAGGGAAGGGTCGTTGGAGGAGGAATGAGGAAAAAGGCGTGAAAAAATTAGGGAAACAAGGAAGATAGATGAATAAGCCAAGCTTTTTTCACACTGTATATGTGGCATTAATGATGGGAAAGCTTACATTTACCTCTTACATAAAAATATTTCTAGAATTGTAAGGTTTATATAGAATTAGCAGCAGCACAGGGCTAAAAGGATACATGAGGATGAGGGGAAACAATCTGCAAGGTGGCGTAGTTATGTGCATGTGTGTGTGTGTGTGTATGTGTGTGTCACCCATACGCTAGGTCTACTATCTGATACTGAACATACTGTTAAAAATATATATGAACTGGTGAAAAAAGTCATTCAATATAAAGACTCTACAGTAAAAAAAAATGAGAAGATATGGATTAAATGTTTATGTAGGGAATATTCTCTTACGCACTGCCTTTTTTAAACATTTCAGTTAAAACACAAATTTAAAAAAAAGACAGCTATTGTAAGAAAAGATTTCTTTTTGAAAAAGGAAACACCATGTACATATATTATACAATATCGTAAATGAAAAAAATATTTACATTTGTAAATTCTTATTCAAATCCTCACACTGGCTAGTATTTGTCTATTAATATGGACTGTTATTGCTGCGTTACTGTCCATTATTTAGCAAAATGATTCTCCTTTAGAAAACAATACGCTGTTGAACGGCTTTTTCTTTTTGCGCGGGAAAGTGAAGAGCCAATGTCGTTATTTTCTCCCTTCTTTTGTAGAAAACCATGAGTAAAGTAAACTACGCATAGGCTATCAACTCTTTGAGTGTAAAAACAACTACAAAATGTACCAATTTGAGGTCTGCCAAAGTAGCAGACGCCGCGATGTTCTCTGAGCAACATCAGTAATGTTAGATAAGAAAAGGGCTTCTAACATAATGCCCTCTGTGTTATCCTCAACAAGCTGGGAATAAACAGTCTGTATATACAACCCAAAGTAACATTTCATCGAAGCAAGTGGCTTTTCAAGATCTTCTATAAAAATGGTTTGAACATGCATATCATTGATTTCAAAAGAAGGAAAAAGCACTCATTCAGAAAAAAAGCCTGAAGCGTCTAGCGTTTGTTCAATTACTCTCAGCACTGAAAAAGGAACAAAGTTTGTAAACTGGTTGGTCTTAAGAATACTGTTAAGAAGAACTGCTGAACGAGGGAGGGGCTTTTGATTTGAAACCTGCAAACAGGAAGGTGATGAGAGGCCACGCCCCCAGCAGCGTCATCATCAGTGTTCCTTCTCTGGAAACCCTTCGCCCGCCCGCGTCCAGGCACTTGAGGTTGTCCAGCATTGCATTTTTTTTTCTTGTCTTTAGTTTTTTTTTGCAAGAGTGGAGTTTTGTTCCTTAAGAACAATATACTGTGTTGTTTTTGTATTACTTTTTCCTCTTCTAAATAAGACAATTTGCTTTATATTGCATAACACAATAAAACCTTTACATGTACAGTATCAATGCCCAATAACTGACTATATGTATGGCAAACTCAAATTTCATGCATAAAGAAAATATGAGTTTTCAATTGAAGAAAGTGAACATAACAGACAAGCAATAATAAAATATCTCCACAACAACAACCAAAGGAAAAATAGCATTAACACAATGTACATTCTGATTGCATTGTACCCACTGTGTGACGGATGCTGCCTTTTGAATAAAATTACATTTTATTCCTCCAACATGAGAATTTAGTTCAGGCTCCAATAACAATCACCTCACATGCTGTTAATGATGTTTGTCGGAGTTGTAACCGGGTGCGATATTTGTGTCAATTATTTTACAAAAGCGGGAGAGTGCTTAGCCCAAAATTGTCCAACAATCCCAGACTGCATCAGCAAGCAAGAGGTTCTTTCTTTCCATTTATTTACAAGACTTTGCCTTTAGAAAACAGAACAACAGTATTTATTGGAGATGCATATAATCAACATAATGCTTACTGGATTTATATGGTAGCAGTCATGTATACGATGGTGTTTTTCAAAGTAAGATTGAAGACAATAGTGGGAGTACAATGCATTATAACAGTATTTTGTTATGACAAAGTGCGATTCATTATTGTAAAGTCAAAAAAAACAAAAACATACATTTATATTTACATACCTTAATTTAATTAAAATGAACATTTTGTGGTTCTTGTCACCATATCCAGCCCACCATGATGTCATAGGTGATGCTTCTGATGTCATTTGGAGTAAAAACATACCGGCTCTCATCGCTCGAGTGTAAGAAGACAATAAAACCACACTCACATCTGAAGGATTTATCTTTACAAGATACACACTTCAGGGTTTTGTTAAAATAACAGAAGGCGACAGAGTGTGGCTTATTGGCAGCAACACTGAGATGTTGGATGTTGGTATTGACCATCCAGAAAGTGCTCACTAAAAGGTGCCTTTAACCCGGCATGTTTTTATTCCCAACTCCCAATCCAGGGTGTGATCCACAGAGAGGAGGATCTACCCAAATGCAAGCCCACTCACCACTTGGAGAAATTAGAAATACATGATTTTATAAAGCAACAATGGGAGGAAAAGAACTTTGAACTGGATGCTTTTCCCCTCAGTGGACTGCGATGGCTTCCTGAAAAACCGACAAAACCCCGGTGGCACTGTGGGAAGTTCATTTGCTTGTTATGTTCATATTCTGATTTATTTGTATCCTTTTTATATTTTTAAACTTCAATAGCACAGAGAAAAACAGAAACCGTCTCATGTTTTCTTTACATTTCGCTATGTAGTCTCTTAAATAGCTCAGAATGCCCTCCATCTTCGTCATGGCGAGGGGACGTTTGGAGGAGATTATTCCGGTCTGTTAAGTGTGACCCCCTCCTCTCCACAGCTGCATTACTCTAATATAACATGATCGTCTCTCAGCACTAGCACCACAGACGCCTGTCCCTGGATCTCCCCTCAAATCTGCTTTTTATTCTTGTGATCCTGGTTTTTAGTTCTGTGAGTTTGGAAGTCAGTGTTTGATTTAGTAACACCTGTTTCCATGTTGCAGTGTTTCCAGTCTTTCTCCATGAAAGCACTCACTTGATTTTTCATGGGTGTTTCTTCTCTCTGTGTCTGCTCGGAGAGTCTTTCATTTGTGAGTGGTGGGGGGCAGAAGATGGGGATCATGGCGGGCGATTGGGGGATGGGGGGGGTTGGCTGCTGGGTTAGTTTTCAGCGAGTGTGTCCTGAGGTGCCCCCTCCTTGTCGCTGGGCCAGAGTTGCTGCTGCAGCTCCTTCACCACCCTCTCCAGGTGCTCCCGGGCCTCCCGCTCCAGCAGCAGGTCGGCTCGGAGCTGCTCGCGGTCGGCCTCGGCGTGCTGCAGCTTCATCTGGAGGTCCTCGATCTGCGGAACACATGGCAGGAAGCAGATGTGACTAAAGGACGACTGAGCTGTGTACACGGAGTTATTCATATTCATGTTAACTCAAAGGATATTTTCCTACAGTCTTGCTCGACTGGCAGATTGGCTTCATAATTTCAACAACTTGTGATTTACATAACTGATTTATGTCAATATAAGTTCTTACAGAAACAAGGTCATAGAAACGTTTCTAGATTTGAGCATATATTTGAAGAGACAGTCTCAATGCAATGTGGGAGTTTTAGTCAAAAGTTCCCTTTGTTGTGTGTTCCACTATCAGTTCATAGATCTCTGTTAATGACAGCCTTCTAGAGCGGCTGCAGTCTCTGAGGGGGGGTTCACAGACCCAGCTTGAGAGCATAACCTCCCTCTTGTTTTGTCTAATCTGCATTTCCCATGGTGCCTGAAGGAAGCCAACGTCTCTTCCTGTTTCCCTTCGGAGCAGGACTTATCCCACGTCTGTGCACTCGGGGCTACACCCATTTATTTTTGACTGTGGAAGAGGAAATGTGGCTTTTTTTACTTGCCTTCTCCTCTGCTGACCTTGAGTGTATTTGAGACAGTGAAACTCTGCAATTACTGCGAGGGTGTTGACATTATGGTCTAGACTCTCTACCATCACATTTGTACACATTGCACTGTTAGTGCCTGTCTGCATGCCGGGCCACGCTTGGCTTAATTTAAACGCTCCCCATGTTACTCAAGTATCACTGAGAGATTAAGAAACATTTCATGGACACAACCAACCTTTATAGTCTACTTGCCAGCAATGGGAAACCGGAAAGGTTGTGTACCCCAACCCCAATGTTGAATACATTTCTGACATTTTAAGGGGGGAAAAAATATTTTTGAGTCCCCTTAAACTAAAACATTGAACCAAAATGTATCAAAATCAGCCCGACGTGAGAACAAATTAACAAAAAATGCAATAATTCCTCTTGTAAATATCAGGAATTTATTTAACATCCTCATTAACCTCCAAAACCACACCAAAATGTTCCAAGTCGGCCTTGCCTTTTTTCAGCTATTGTCTGCATATTTAATGCTTAATAACGCAACTTATGCCAATTGTGCAAATTGCCCAACATATGCAAGTTAGCATCCAGCAGTTTCTATGAGCTGGAGAGGGACCCATACTATACATTTATAACATACAACTTTGGGGTACTCAACATTTGCAGGCAAACAATGAGAGCTGGTACACACTATAACCCTAACACAGGGGTCGGCAACCCGCGGCTCTTTAAGCCCTCTACTCTGGCTCCCTTGAGCTTAGACAAAACTAAGAAGGAAATAAAATACAAGTATTTGTAGGACTATTTACATTTTGTTGCACGGTAGAAAATGTTTCGTATCTTGTATTTTGAGGTGATACTGTGACACAAGAACATGTAAAAAATGGTTTTAATTAGGTCAACTAAAATATGCGTCACATCCTGCTACGATCCCGCACCAGTGCCTTTTCCTGCAGGCGAATAACCTGACCCCCGGCTCGATGAGCGAACTATGGATACATCAAAGAAAATAAAAGTATGGGAGGAACACAGGATTGAATTCTGCGTGGACAGAGTTATCTGTTTTCAAGCAAACGATGCTGGTTTTCCGGGATGTTTGATATGTGGAGAGAAGTTGTCAAAGGTGCTGCAGACTTACGTGTCGAGGAACAACACGGAAGAGGAAGACAGCTGACGATCTTCAGTCATCATTCAATCAGTTAACTCTTTTTAGGGTGCAGCTATATGTTTTATTTATTTCAAAGTGGGCCCATTTGAATTATATTCATTTTCTTCAAATGTGCAGAGGACTCCAAGTGCTGTGTTGATTTATTTTAAAGTAGGCCTGTGTCTTTTATTCTCCTTAGAAGAGTTATTTGTTTATTATTAGAGGTTAACAGTTTTCTATAATGTAATAAATAATAAATGCAAAAAAACTGTAGTTTTTGTCTATGATATAACAATATATACAACTTCACAAGCTATCAAGCTATCAAATATGTTTTGCGGCTCCAGACAAAAAAAAATTGTGGAAAAGGGGGCAAAATGGCTCTTTTGGTCAAAAAGGTTGCAGACCCCTGCCCTAACCCTAAGCGATTGAAAGCTACGTTAGCGCGCAGGCTAACTCACCTGTGCAGAGTACTTGGCGCGGAGCCTCCCGGCCTCGCAGCCTTTGTCACACACTCTTAGCTGCCGTGCCTGCTCCAACTCCCGCTTCAGACGGATCCGCGACTCGTTGGCTTCCTTCATCTTCTTCTCGCTCTCGGCTCGCAGGCGCTCGATTTCCTTTCTCAGGTTTCGCTTTGCCTCGGTCGCCTCCCGCAGCTTTTCCTTTTTCGCCACCCGCAAGAACTCCAACTCCTGGAAAAAAGACATGTAGAACTCAGTCAAAAAGAGAGTTTCTCATAGAGGGATTGTAAAGGGTGGGCTCACAGCATTTAGCTTTCCTTCCTCTCAATTACTGGAAGTGTGTGTGTGTGTGTGTGTGTGTGTGTGTGTGTGTGTGTGTGTGTGTGTGTGTGTGTGTGTGTGTGTGTGTGTGTGTGTGTGCGTGTGTGGTGTGTGTGTGTGTGTGTGTGTGTGTGTGTGTGTGCGTGTGTGTGTGAGAGTGTGAGAGTCCATTGAACTGCAGGCACTAGCCTCTTGCCTTGATTTCCCGCCCTGATTTATAGGACATATCTCTTCATATCTTGATAACACACAAACCTCAGTAAGGACTCCTCTGTGTTATGTAGTGTCTTTTTACTCGAAACAAATCTTCTTAGGATCAAGAAAGGCATTTGACCCGGTAAATACTACACTATACGATGATACTTTATTTTAGGATCAAGTCTGCATAGTTTTTCTCGCAAACCAGCAGCTTTATTTACAACATTAAAAAGGTCAAGAAAGATACAAGAAAACAAACATATAACATTACAATGAATGAAGAACCGCCTCCATTGGACTCCTTCGTACGGTGGCCCTGAAGTGCAAGACACTACAGCATTTCACAAAACACTTAGTTCAGTGTTTTGTGAAATGCTGTGGTGTCTTGCACTTCAGGGCCACCGTACCTTTGTTTACTTCAGTAACATAATGACATCACTATGTGACACTCGCCCTCCTATTGGCTAGCACTCCAACACATTGAACGTGATAGGCTAAGGGGCGGGACATCTCTAAGCGGTTGACCAATGACAATCAGCCAGCTAACCAATCAGAGCAGACTGGGCTCTGGTTTCAGACAGAGGGTGAAAAGAGGTGCTGCAGCACAGGCAGTATGAGACAAATAAAGAGACCCTTTACTCCTCAGATTGAACTCTTTCCCCACCGTCACTAAACACAGCAGGAATGAACCGGCGGCTGTTTTTAAGTCAGGCCACATTTCATTAAGTTGTCGGTTGGTTGGATTGATGTTGCCTTCCACAGCTCCTGTGAACTCTGATGGAGAGGGAAAGTGGAATGCTGTCAGGCTGGACTAGCTTTTCTCACTCAGGATGTGTTCAGTGCTGCTCTCCCACTTAGACTCCTTCGTCGGCATTTTCTTGTTCTCAGTTCAAGGCCAAAAATAAAGATGGAAGTCTGGCCTTTCCCTTCGCTGCAATATCCGCTCTCATTGTTATTACTTGCCAACTCATGCTAAGCTTTGCTGACAGTCATCATGGATTCTAATCCACTTCTACATTTTGATGCCTGAGCTCAAGTCATTTCCTCAGTGAGCCAACTTTGATAACTTTCTGTCTGCTCTGATTTCAAGAACATACAGAGAGGCTTAATGTGAGTCGCTAGGGCTTTGAAATGGCATTCTCTCAGCCAACAGTCGAACACACCATGCTGCCATCACTAACATCACTTCATATTCCTTGTATATATAGCATATCCGTGTTAGAATAGACACTTAATAAACAGGGTTGCACATTTCAATAATTACGGCTGATCTTTTTATATCAGGCCGTTTGTCATGGTGTGTAGGTTTCTCCACATTTGATTGCGTAACAGTGACTTATTTGACTGGTTGGTGGCCTTGAATGGCACAGAGGTTAGTTTAGGTAAAGCCCTTTGCTCATACGTGGTATGGAGATTAATATACATTGCAAACAACTTTGGCAGAGCTGTATTAAAAACATCTGCGGCAAGTTCAAGTTGAAGCAGGAAGGGTTGAAGCTAGTCTTGAATCCAAGCAAAGTCTCATTCAATGGAGAAGTCCAGGTAAAGTCACACATTTATGAGTTGAGATGTAGGTAGGCTACTATTAAGTGACATACTTTTACATTTTGATCAATGAAAACTGAATAAATATAGTTTTTCTTATTTTTGTTCATCCACGGATGTCTCTGAATACAATAACAAGTAAGAAATGTTTTCATTCAAATCTCAAGTAGGGCCATGTTGTAACATAGTCAAGTCTCTCAGAGTTTGTGATGTGTGTATAAGTCACTCTGAATGGAGCTGGGCTCACAGTTTCCCTCTGCCTCCTGTCTGTGTGCTAACTGCTAACTGCTATCCTAAACACACCTCGGACCTAATCGTGTAAACAACGCACATATATGCAACATGTATCAATGTTCTCATCGGGAAGGGAAAGTACATTTCGAATGGGTTACTGTTGATAACACAAACGGCCCCCACCTGCTGGAGGCTGCGTTTGGCCTGCAGGGCGGACCCCAGCTTCTCCTCCTGCTTCACCCTCATCTTCACGATCTCGTGCAGGAACTTCTCCTTGGACTCTTTGGAGTCCAGTCCGCTGTCCAGCGCCTGCCTCAGACTCTCCAGCTCCGACTCTAGCCCCCCCTCTGAGGGGGCCACGGGGGCTGCAGTGGGTGTGGGAGGGGGGCCCTCAGCCGACGTGACGGTGCAGACGGGCCCCAGGGCCCCCGGCGAGCTCAGGTCCTTGGTTAAGCTGCTGGACGAGGTGAAGGATGGCGACGACAGGGAGGACAGGGAGGATGTGACTGTGGGGGAGACCAGGACACGGGGGTGAGGTTTGTGTAAAATACTCTGGTGGAAACTAAGTTTACAGGTGTATCAGCCCCGTATCAATGTACACATGTAACACATTCTACCTCTGCGCCTTCACAACTTCACAACTTCATATCATTCATCTGTTTGCATCTCACGTATTTATATATTATAACAATAAGCACTATTATTTCGCCATACAGCATTACAGTTTACATTCTATTTAAAGCTCATCTTATTTGACTTGTATGTAGTTACATTCTCCTGCATTACTTGCTAATTAGTCTTGCAACATTCTCTTGCACTATTTGTATTGGTTTATGTCTTATACAGTATATTGATGTTGCATTGTTGCAGGATCCTGGGATGGTCATTGCATATTTACACTGCAGCTCTGCAGATGACAGTACATTATTTGAACCTGAACATTTCTAGTTTCTTAAGTTGTTTGCTTACATTCATCGCGGCTTTCCACTTCGATCTCCACCTCAGATTCCTTGTCGTCCTGAGGGGGGGGCAGCGGCGGCTTGCTGGCGGCTGCGAGCGGGGGGCAGGGGGGCTCCGGCTCTGGGGGCTGGAGCTCCTCTGTGGCTCTTCTCTTGCGGGGCCTGGAGCTGGCGCCCTCGCCCGGGGGCTCACTTCCGCTCGGGTGGGAGGTGCTGGGTACCGACAGGGACATTGGACCTACCTTCCCCAGGGGCAGCGGTGTGAGGGCCACATTGGGGGCCACCGCTTTCTCTATACTCTTGTAGTTGTAGAAGCTTTGAGAAAAGAAAAAAAAGACAATTTAGATTTAATTTAGGGCTGTACCATTAAGAAAAAGTAAACAATTGCAATATTTAGAAATTGTGATATTGTGAGGTTTTGAAAATGATTGAATCATTACCATTGAAAAATATAGTAAATGATCAGTGTGATTATATAAGAGGATCTGTATTCAACACATATGTTCTATTAAGTATTCATTTGAAGGCTGGGATATCTCTGCAAATCAACAATATTTATTAAAATTTAAAAAAAATTATTGTAATGTTTATTTTATTAGCTTTTCTTTTTAATGACTGATTTTAAATGCCATTTTCTTAAAGTCTTTCATTTTTTGTAAAGCACTTTGAATTGCCTTGTGTTGAAAAGTTCTATATAAATAAACTTGCCTTGCCTTAAAAATTATATTTTAACACATATTTAGTCTTCTCCAACTATTGTGCCTCCTGAGATTTGAATATTGCACAAGTCCAAAATGCAATTTCAATACAATTGTGATTAATTGTGCAGCTCAAATGTATGTACAACACGTTAAAGGTTACTTCATAACCAGGAGCTGAGTTGTGCATGCATGCAAACACAGTAGCATACTGTATGGTCAGATTGAAGCGTCCAGCGAAGTGCCTGCAGCTCTCTCCTCCCACTTTAGGAGAAACTGGGCACTGTGATATGGTGCAGCCTGCTCTGGCAGCGCCACGCCAAGTGGGTGCCCAAAGTGTGAGTGTGTGTCAAATGTGTGTAAGTGGAGGAGTGTGGGAGGCTGTGGTGGAGTCAGACTTGACCCTCTGACACCAGCCCACCCAGACAAGCGAGAGCAGCTCATCAGATCCAACCCAACAAAATGGCCGAACTCTGCTGCAGTAAGAGCTCCTTAAAGTCTAGATATTAGTTCTGCAGGGATGAGTTTTAATGGATCATATTTTTCTAAAGGTCTGTGGTAAACAGATTGTGTTCTGCCACATAAAGTCCAGCGGTGATGACGTTACAGTAAACAATGGTTTAGTTTGTTTTAGCCAAAAGCTAGCCTCTGATTCTGGCGCTTGTGTCCACGGTGTGTATCTTCTGCAGGAATCCAGAATCCAATAAAAAAAAACACATTGGCTTCTTGTCGAGGGAACCAGCGCAATGCTAACTTCAAAAGTGTTTCCTCTCTGAAGCACCCTATTGCTGTCATGTGAGTGAGGTGTGTTGGTGCTGTGCTGCCTCACCTGTCTCTCAGCAGGGCCAGGGGGTGACTGGAGGGCTCCTTCTCTCCAGCAGAGATGTGGGGGGACCAGGGTCTGAAAGCTGAGGGTCTCTGTCTGGGCTGGATGCAGTTAAGCCCCTGAAAAAAGACAAACATAAACCTGTTATTCTCCAAGTAACAAAAGTGACTACCAAAAAATACTGTTGCGAGGATATTTGGAGGATATGTTTTCAATGCTGACGAGCAGTGCTAGACATTTTGATATGCTAAGCCAGGACACACTTACGGAAATATAGCATTTATGTTTGATACACAGGCTTATTGTAGCTGGCCTGACAACGAGTTTGAGGACGGAATACACTGGTTCTAGGACTCCAATTCTCTGCAACTTTAGACTGTATTATTTCTCTGTGTGATATATTTATCAGTGCTATAGCTTGCAGTCAATGTGATCAGCTGTACTCAGTCCTTTGAATGTGAATGTGTAACTGTAAGAAATTGTGCAACCAATGAATTGTTGAAGACATTCTAACCGTATCCTCATAGTGGATTTTTTGGGAATATTGCTCTTCACAGGGGACATTCATCATTATTTTGTGGTTATATTGTGTTACACTGCGCTGCCTCTCAGTAAGTGAATCTGGGGGGCTCATGGCGGCTACAGTTACCCCCTCTGTGAGCACCGCGTGCCCAATCTAAATTTAAGCGCTACCCTCATCCGAAAACTTCTGTAGCCTATAATATTACACCAAATCTCATCTCATGCGTCACCACCAACATCTCCCCCCTGAGCTCAGCAACACGGACCTTATTGGCGGCGGACAGGGACTGGAGCCAGTCGTGCTGCTTCTCTTTGTCCGACTGCAGGGCCGGCGAGGGGAAGTCTTCATGTTTGGACCGTTTGATAGGGACGGGGTCAGATGCCTGGAGGAACACAAAGATATTTGATTTAAGTTTTAAATAATTTGATCTAGCTGTATTTCACTTAGGCAGTATTTTTTACAAAGACATAATGGGCTCATGTAATATGGAAGAGGATTAGGGGCTACATGAGGAAAGATCTTTGGGACGTGACCAAAAGTACAACACAAATTGGAGTTGTCACTTTTCTGAGATTAAAGCCAGAATTCTGAGATTTTCAACAAAAAAGAGAAAAAGAGAGAAACATTATTTTCTTGTCAGAATGAAAATAACATTTTGAATTCTGAGAATAAAAAGAAAAAACTTTTGGTCACATAAAAAAATACAGTTTCCCACAATCCCAAATACAATAACAAAGATATATAAAAATATGTATATACCTATATATATATATATATACCTATGAACAGACACATTTAAAGATATAAACACAAAGTGAAAACAGTATCCGTGCTGCTTGAAAAGGGCTCACACATGTGCGCTGGGTGGATTACTGCTCCCTCGTCATGTGACTGCACAGGTTGGCAGCTGGCTAAGAGCTGTCACACTATAATGTCAGTGAACTGAGAGTGCACCCAATAGTGTCAGACAGACAAATAAGAGTGTGTGTGTGGGTGTGTATGCGCGAGTGCCAGCGGAGGTGTCTGATAGCTGGAAGTGTGTTTAAATGTAGGTGTGGTGTTGACTCTGTCACACACAATCCAATACAGCTCGGTGTGTTTGCTCATGGGCAGCCAAGAGAGGAGGCTAGAGGTGACTGGGGCAGTGTGTGTGTGTGTGTGTGTGTGTGTGTGTGTGTGTCTGTCTGTCTGTCACACACAGATACACCCATACAGAAAAAAAACAAGCAGGGGTTTGTTTCTCTTCCTCTGTTAGGCTTCGTGGCTATGACCTCAGTCTCTCCAAGCTGTGGCTGTCACTAGCTGCCACACAGGCGCGCACGCACACGCACACACACACACACACACACACACACACACACACACACACACACACACACACACACACACACATACACACAGTAACAGCAATGCATAATTGATTGAACACAGTGTGCTGCAGGAAATGAATAATCCAAATCCCTAAAAAAATGGTGAGTGTTATGTAATACAAATAATATGAAATAACTTAGGAAATGTACCACTTATATGTAGTTTTAAAACAATTAAGTGGATTCAAACATTATGATCAACCTATTCCACAAATGTGAAATATTGTGAAGTGTATTATAATAGCATTGAACTTGCATGCAAAAACAACTCTTTTTTAGACTGTTAAATCTCCATGAATCTTCCTGACAGCTGAAATGAAAGTCTTTCAGCTGTCAGTGTGTAGTTATGGAATTACCTTCGACAAGCGTTTTGTTCTGACTCACTGTTTAAAGGTTGTGTGTTAAAGTGGAGGTCACACATGTCATGCTGGCTCTGTCAAACCAACAATATTTATAGAGGGGATGTTTTCCCTCATCATACACTCTCTCTGGTGCTCTCACTCTTATTTTCAGGAGTGCGGCCAACATCAGTGCGCACACACACACACCCCTCCTGCGTGGTGTCAACAGGTGGTCATTTGTAATGGGGTTAGATACTCTCTCTCTCTGGCAGTGTGTCATGCTGTGCCACATGTCTGTGTAATCAGAGCTGCTCTCACAGGAAAGTAGCGTGGCTAGACGAGGTCTGCCGATGTGACAGCTGCCCACTGACGTGCAGCTCCATGACTTTCAATGACTTTCCATAACGCCATCGGTTTCCCTGACCAACAACGCTCTTTTCTATCTGCAGTACACATTTGTTAAAGAGGGCATAGTGTGCTTATTTTCAGGTGTATATCAGTATGTAGTGTCTCTACTTTAAAGAGTCCTCTCCTGCTGATGTTCAGGTGTATATCAGTATGTAGTGTCTCTACTTTAAAGAGTCCTCTCCTGCTGATGTTCAGGTGTATATCAGTATGTAGTGTCTCTACTTTAAAGAGTCCTCTCCTGCTGATGTTCAGGTGTATATCAGTATGTAGTGTCTCTACTTTAAAGAGTCCTCTCCTGCTGATGTTCAGGTGTATATCAGTATGTAGTGTCTCTACTTTAAAGAGTCCTCTCCTGCTGATGTTCAGGTGTATATTAGTATGTAGTGTCTCTACTTTAAAGAGTCCTCTCCTGCTGATGTTCAGGTGAATATCAGTATGTAGTGTCTCTACTTTAAAGAGTCCTCTCCTGCTGATGTTCAGGTGTATATCAGTATGTAGTGTCTCTACTTTAAAGAGTCCTCTCCTGCTGATGTTCAGGTGTATATCAGTATGTAGTGTCTCTACTTTAAAGAGTCCTCTCCTGCTGATGTTCAGGTGTATATCAGTATGTAGTGTCTCTACATGTCTCCATGCTTTAATGTTCAGAAAGCTCTTTATTGTTCTCATACTGCCTGTGCTGCAGCACCTCTTTTCACCCTCTGTCTGAAACCAGAGCCCAGTCTGCTCTGATTGGTTAGCTGGCTGATTGTCATTGGTCAACCGCTTAGAGATGTCCCGCGCCTTAGCCTATCACGTTCAATGTGTTGGAGTGCTAGCCAATAGGAGGGCGAGTGTCACATAGTGATGTCATTATGTTACTGAAGTAAACAAAGGTACGGTGGCCCTGAAGTGCAAGACACCACAGCATTTCACAAAACACTGAACTAAGTGTTTTGTGAAATGCTGTAGTGTCTTGCACTTCAGGGCCACTGTACGAAGGAGTCCAATGGAGGCGGTTCTTCATTCATTGTAATGTTATATGTTTGTTTTCTTGTATCTTTCTTGACCTTTTTAATGTTGTAAATAAAGCTGCTGGTTTGCGAGAAAAACTATGCAGACTTGATCCTAAAATAAAGTATCATCGTATAGTGTAGTATTTACCGGGTCAAATGCCTTTCTTGATCCTAAGAAGATTTGTTTCGAGTAAAAAGACACTACATAACACAGAGGAGTCCTTACTGAGGTTTGTGTGTTATCAAGATATGAAGAGATATGTCCTATAAATCAGGGCGGGAAATCAAGGCAAGAGGCTAGTGCCTGCAGTTCAATGGACTCTCACACTCTCTCACACACACACACACACACACACACACACACACTCACACACACACACACACACACACACACACACACACACACACACACACACACACACACACACACGCACACACACACACACACACACACAGCCTATGGGCAAAGTCTCTGTGCCACGTGCCAGTCCTCGTCTCGTGGATTACCGGTTGCCAACAGCTTTCCATCAGGGCGAGATCCGGCCCGGTAATCTTGGACGGAGGAGAGCGTCGGGGGTCAACAATTGGCAGCGGAGCTTATGGGGCCGCCGGTGGGGGGGGCGGAGGGAGAAATCTGCATGTCTAGATTACTGAACAGTGGGACTGTGCGACACGGAGCACAGACAGCCGGGTGGGAGTTCCTGTTTCAGAAGGCGGCTTGGTGATGTCAGAGGCTTTGGGCTGTTTCCAGAGCAAAAGTGAGGAGTCATTTACATTTCATTTGATTCATGTGAAATGATACCATTAGTGATATCTTCCTAAGAGGGTCCCTCGGATAAAAAATTAACAAATGGGGCTCTGTGGCGGAGGGTGTGTGAGATGAAAACATGAGAAACCCTGCGCTGATACACACACGTTCAGACACACACACTCAGACCCTGACTGGAGGTGAATGAGACCCTTTACACTGCTCTGCTGATAAGCGTGCGATTTACAGCTGCAAATGATAGCGCAGGGCTAACCTTCAGAGACACACAATAATGTGAGTGTGTGTGTGTGTGAGTGTGTGCATATACCCGTGCACTTTGCAGCCCATCCCCTTTATGATCCGGTGTGGATTACACAGCATAGACAGGATGTCACACTTCTAAAATAAGGCTTTCAGATTAGCAGAGGTGTGTGTTAGACGTGCTCAGACAGCAGCTCACACACCTCACAGTGAGAGTATGACACCTCGTAATATGGAGCATTACCCTGGTATCATGGCGATGCCGTTAGCCTTTTATTAAAAGTTAGATATCACTTCATTATCATCATTCATGATTCCAAGGAGTCCCAGTGCTGTGTGCTCTAAAAGCTAGTTTTTTAGGAAGGATATTGGCCAAGAAATGACACAAAATATCAATATTGGATGTTTAAAGCACATATCTGTGAAATGCTAATTTACAGTCCCTTACTTTACACATGGTAGCTGAGGAACTCACAAAGCCTCAAGTCATGGGGAAGCATGTGTGGAAATAGTGAGAGTGGCAGCCCCGTCTCAGCTGCCAGAGGGGGGCCACAGGGGGGGCCACAGAGGGGCTCATGTGTGAGCACGTGTCTGGGCGAGTGGATGTGGGTGTACATGTCTCTTAGTATGGCTGTGTGTGTGTGTGTGTGTGTGTGTGTGTGTGTGTGTGTGTGTGTGTGTGTGTGTGTGTGTGTGTGTGTGTGTGTGTGTGTGTGTGTGTGTGTGTGTGTGTGGCAGAGACAGGATGGGTGGGGTGATAACAGACTTCTCGGTTGAGACGCTCTTTTGAAACTCTGCTTCAGAACACTTCCTCTGTCTGCAGACTAGTGATGTTTGTCTAAACACATGAAGCATTTTTCTAAAATATTACAGTACACAATCTCTTTCAAAATGTACCTAGCGAAACCATTTCTGCTCGTGTTGATATTTCTGAAAGGTTTTATGTGTGTTGTTACTCTAATGCCTCTAGTGCACAATTATGCAGTAAATAACTTGATGTTTCAATTTTTCATTTACACATGCGAGGGACATTGAATAGAGATCCCATCTTGGGGGATCTGCAGATATATGCAGTTTAGAGAAATAAATACATAACAGTAGAAACACAACTGTGGAAGTGATACTTGTTATACTTTCACTAAAGCTGCAGACATCTTTATAAAGCTCTGAGAGATCCTTAAATAGATACATGAAATGTTCCTGGGCTCTTTACCCTGTTGTTGCTTCTTTAATGAATCAAACTGGTTGTTTGTGTCAGCAGGTTAACTGCCAAAGTCACACTTTTGAGAGTTTTGATCAGCTGATCAGACTG